AATAAATTAAGTAAAATACGTAAAGATAGAAAACAACGATGAAAAATAAAAATTTAAAACAAAATTCTCTTCTTGTAGGTAATAGAAAATTCCCAATGCAGTACCTAAACTTTTCAAGTACCTAACTGAATTTTTAAATCCGTACATTTTTTTCCAAAAATCAGGATCCGGTTCGCACATGAACATCGCGTCAATTTTTTTTTTTTTTTTTTTTTTTTTTTTTTTTTTTTTTTGGTGGGTGCAACCGAAACGCGTCGGACAAAAGAAACTCTGCATGTGAAGGAGATAATACTTAAACAATTTTCTTGAATTTTTCGAAAAATAAAATAACGGGGTTTTAAAGCATGTTTTGGGAGTTGGCCTCGTCCGGCTTGTTTGGCAACAGTGGACGGGGGAGAAAATTGCGGACACATCCGTTGGCAGCTCCTTCATCAGTCGCACTAATGAAGAACGCCGTATGAGCCTTCAGACGTTGCCATATTCCTACAATGAAAAACGAATTTCCGGATATTTCCTACAATGGAAAACGAATTTTCCGGGAAGAGTGTGTATATTTTCCTTGCAATATCTTGGAAAATGTTCTTCGTAATAATTCAATCTAATAAATGGGCGGGGAAAATGCATTATCCAGGAAAATTCGGCGACCGTGGAATGTTGATGCGAGGTTCTTCCGTCAGCACTGCAGTGATATCGTCGTTGTCGTTTCCGGTGTTTGCCGCTCCAGTTCTGCCATTTCCCGGAATCATTTCAGAATTTCGGAACTTTTGCAATGTCCCGGAACTTCACCGGGAATCTTCAAAGTTCTCGGAATATCCAACTATTTTCGTCATTTTCTCGGAACTCAATTTGACCGATTTTTTAAACAAAAATGCTCTTTTTTTTTCTTTTTTTTTCTTTTAAATCATGTCTGAGAATCTTCGGAATTAAATCCGGGCGCATTTCCGAATATTTCCCGGAATCAATTCAGAATTTCGGAACTTTTGAAATTTCCCGGAACTTCACGGGGAATCTTCAAAGTTCGCGGAATATCCAACTATTGTCGTAATTTTCTTGGAACTCAATTTGACCGATTATTCGAACAAATTTAATAATTTTTTTTTTCTTTTTTTTCCTTTTTTTAATCAAGTTTGAGCATTTCCAAACTTTTTTATCGGAACTTCTGAGAAAGTGGAGCATTTTTCCGGAACTTTTGGGAACGAGAATGAATGGCGGGAAGCCCGGAAGCTTTGGTAAAATAAGATGGCAGCACTGGCGGCTCCGAGTCGGGCACGATGAGACGAAGAGCAAGCGGCGAGCGCACGCACTTTCTCGCCGTCGATTAACCCAAGATGATGGCTTTTTACCAGCGGTTAGCAGCAGCGGCGACCGGCGAGGCGTCAATGATCGATTATCGATATTTCCCCATTTGAAGCTATGGTAAAGAATCGATTATTCAGGTGCTCGTCGCCAACACCCTGCCTATCGATCCTTTCCCGCAGGTTCAAATAGCGGACCAATCGATCCATCGCAAAGCAGGCCACGTTCGGTTCGCTCATTCTGCGTGCCCATTTGTCTCCGATACAGTCGCATGTGCAGTTTGGGATGGGTTTCGAGATCTGCCGTGCTGAAGAAAAACGCCGTATGGACCTTCAGACGTTGCCAAATTCCCTTTGAAAAAACATGAATTTCCTGGTAAACTCATGAATGTTTTTCTTCCAATTTTTCTGATAATTTTGTTCGTAATTTCACCTTAAGTTCCTGAAAATTTCAAGGACGAATATTCATAAGTTGCCTCCAAAATCAACATTTTAGTGAAGGAAATTTGGCAAGTTTCGAATGTTTATACGGCGTTCCTCCTTAGCACGGCAGAGATACGATCGAGTATCGATATTTCCCCATTTGAAGCCATGGCAAAGATTCGATTGAGGTGGTCGTTGCCTAAACCTTGTTTATCGATCTTTTTCCATAGGTTTAAGTGGTCGATCAATCGATATATCGCAATGCATGTCACTGGCAGAGATGAACTTGCGGATCTCTTCCGTAACAGGACGGAGCGACAGATCTGCGCGTCACCGCGTTCCTCCTGTTTCACTGCAGCTCCCTCGCGCATGCGCCGCGGGGACTCCAGCGCGTGAAAAATTGTTCCGTGTACTGCCGCGTCGTGCCGGTCCCATTTTTTTCTTTTATCGGTTTTCATGATTTTAACCCTGCGGGCCCATGGAAGTCTTACACGTGTAAGGGATTTGCGATTCCAGTACTTATTTGTTTCGTCCGGTGCTCCGCCGTGCTAAGGAAAAACGCCGTATCAACTTTCGAGAGATGCCAAATTTCCTTCGTTAAAATCTTCATTTTCGAAGAAAGTAATGTATAGTTTTCCTTTAAATTTTCAGAATCTTTAGGTAAAATTCCGAACAAAATTATCTGAAAAATTGGGAGGAAAATATTCATAAGTTTATCAGGAAATTCGCGTTTTATCAAGGGAAATTTGGCAACGCCTGAAGGTTCATACGACGTTTTTCCTTATCACGACAGTGCTCCCATTCCATTTCCGCCAAAAGTTCCGGGATTCGGAAGTCCCGCTCTATCAGTGGCGAGACGCGAATAATCCATCATCAACATTTCCCCATTTGAAGCTGTGGTTAAGAATCGATTATTAAGGTGTTCGCTGCGAACACACTGTTTATCGATCCTTCATAGGTTTAAATGACAGATGAATCGATACATCGCAAAGCACGCCACGCCACTGCACTCTATGACCGTTAAAAGTTCCGAGATTCCTTTTAGATTTTTCAAATGTTCCGAGAAACTTCCGGAAAATTCGAAAGATCCTGAACATTTCGGTAATTATAAAATTTCCTTGATGAAAAATTCAGGAAAAACTCAAAAGTTCCGGAGCCGACATCGGTTGGTCCAGTGGTTAGCGCAACTGATCACAGACCTAGATGTCCCGGGTTCGAATCCCGGCCTCGGTGGCAAGATTTGATGGTCTCAGATCTTGTCACCGTGGAGTGGCATGGATGTTTCTCTTCGTTTCTTCCTTTGTACTTCCGTTTCTACTGTTGTTGTAATCTTCCCATCATTTAGCGGTGGCTGTTTGTCTACACGACTAAGGCCAATGAACTATACCTAGAGTGCGCAAGCTCTCAAAAAAAAAAAAAAAAAAAAAAAAAAAAAAAAAAAAAAAAAAAAAAAGTTCCGGAATTCGGGGCTAGTTCTGGGAAATGGGAGCATTGACTTGGTAGTTCGGCTGACAAAATTTAGTAACTACACATTGAGATGAGCCCGGAAAAGCATTGAATTGTATGGAGGGCTCATTGGAGGGCGTCGGTGCGCCCTTCTCGGAAAGCGAGAATCTGTAGAGGTAGGTGTATCGATAAGGGCCGCTTTTGGGCCTGCCTTAGATGAATTTCCTCAGCTCCACAATTGCTTGCTTATATGATTGCAAACCCGCAAATTTTGGGAAAATGAAATTTCACCTCGCCGCAGAATGAAATTTTGTGCCGGGACATTTCACTTATTTTGCATATTGCGCCCATGCTTAAGCCCCCTTCTCACGATTGGGTGGCTCTCTCATCAATTCAGGGTTGCCACGGTTAGATAATACCGGTAAGTGTCAGAGACTTTCGAAGAGTCAAGGAAAACCTGGAAATGTCAGGGAAAAATCGTTTTGCGTGGAAACTATTTCAAATTACATCTTCTAAATCATCTAGCATGTCCATAAGTGTCAGGGAATTTTACCAAAATGTCTTGGGGAAATCAGGGAATTTCATTATCCAAATTCTGTGGCAACCCTGCCAGTACCTTCTCTGCCGTGCTAAGAAAGAACATCGTATGAACATTCGAGAGTTACCAAATTTCCCTTGATAAAACATGTATTTTTGACAACATTCATGCATATTTTTTCTTGAAATTTTCAAATAGCTTAGAGTAAATTGCTACTAAAATTGTCTACAAATTTGGGAAAATAATATTCACAATTTTTTCAGTAAATTCGGGTTTTTTCGCAGGAAACTTGGCAACGCCTGAAGGCTCATACGGCGTTCTTCCTTAGCAAGGCAGTGCTCTGCCTCGGTTTTTTCTATGCAAGTGTATCCTTCCAAAAAGAAAGAAGGGTAATTTTGGACAGAAAAATTGGTATTTTTTTTTTATTATTATTATTTAAAAAAATGGCATGAGATATTTTTGAAGAAGTGAGACTTAGAATCCGACGAATCGTGGGTAAATTGGCAATTAAGAAGGTCTCGAGAAAAGTTAGCGGGAGAAGAAGGCTGCGAATGGGACAGAACGGACGATTGTGCCGTTCCAAAAATAGCTACAATTTTTTTTCGACGATTCCGCCTTGCCTTGTCGCCCGACGCTCTTGGTCTCCCGCAGCCCGCGGCCTCTCCCTACCCCTCTCCCCACCGTTTGTGAGCTCCATTCAGCGTTTCTTGCGATAGGAAAGCGCACAATCTAAGACCGGGAGTAACCGAAATTCGTCAGGGAATGAAACATTTCTGGAATCAGGGAAAAATCAAGGACTCTGCTCCAGAAGCCGGGCATCTCTCCTTCAACCGTTTACGTAGTTCCCGCGGTAAGGGAAAACCGGGAAATGTAGGGAAAATGAGGAAAATTTCATTGAAAAATTGTCGAGTCACCTTTATTTCCTTTCTAAACTGGGCTTGACGCTTCGAACCACAAATTTAGCCTGAAAACTATTTCAAAGCATGTCTTTTTAAGCATCTGGCATATCCTAAATCGTCAGGAGGTTTTACCAAAATGTGACAAAGAAATGAGGGAAATATAAGAGAATTTCATTCTCTAAATTCTGTGGTAACCCTGTTTGGGTGGTTTTGGAATTGAACACTTAAGTTCTCTGAGTGGTACGAGGACGACCTGTATTTTTTCGTCCGAGACGCGACTGAGGAAATAGCCTCGTGCTCTAGTTTTCTCCCGAGTCATTTGATAGTATTAATATATTTCGCTCTCTCGGGTGGCTCCAAACAATGCGCTCTCAATGGTCTTTGTTTCCTCTCTTTCAGATCCGTGGAGTTTCCGGGATGGTGGACTACTACAGAGTGCTGGAAATCACGAGAACCGCCACAGCTGCCGACATCAAAAAAGCGTAAGTATTGATGCTCTCCACCGGGAGGGTTATTTTTTGGAGTCTTCCGTTGGTTTTACCTGCTGAACCTCCCTCCCCCCTCGTCCTCCTCCTCCTCCTCCTATGGAAAAGGGAAATTTCCCATTCTGCGGTCCTGGGATCGCAGGCAACATGCACGGCTCGTCTGAACTAACTTTAAATGATAAGTCGATGACACCAAAAAGTCTCTTCGGGAGCTCCAAGTAGGATGCAAGTACTGTCATTTAAGCCAAAAACGAAAAAAATCCGCCCGGCTCTTCGAAAATAAAAACGATTTTTATGTAAACATGCGTGGATTTTCAAAAATATTAAGTTTCCCTAATTTTCGGGGAGGAAAACAGCGACCAAAAAAGTCAATGTTATAACATAATATTGCTCTACAAGATTTTAGCTACGAGATTTTTTTCTAACGAGCTATGGATGTTTATTTTTGGACCACTGGTTTGCGAGATAATCGATTTTTACCGAGACTACTTCATTTTCCTGCGGGTCCACCGACGACGTCACTTCAGCTTGTAGAGCAATATTAAGTATGTTATAATATTAACTTTTTTGGTCGCTGCTTTCCTCCCTGAAAATTATGGAACCTTAATTCTTTGAAAAAACCACGCATGTTAACATAAAAATCGTTTTTATTTTCGAAGAGTCCTTTTTTCGTTTTTGGCTTTAATGACAGTACTTCCATCCTACATCAAGCTCCCAAAGAGGCTTTTTGGTGTCATCGGCTTTTCATTTAAAGTTGGTTCAGACGAGCCGCGCATGAGGTAAATCTTGAGTGGTGTGGCAATTTTAAAGTAGGTGTCTTTTTTCCTCTCAATCTCTATATTATACAGCTACGAGCAAAATCTTGGAAGCACTATTTCTGACGAACTGCCGGACTGATAAGGATGATCTTTACATGTATGTCATCTGTAGTAGATGTAGATGTGCAAAAAATTATGAAACCCCGAACTTTTAATGTTGTAGAGCTTTTAAAGCTCACGTCACCTAAGTCCAATGTTAATAGCGTGAGAGATATGTCGTTTCCGCTAGAAACGTCAAGGTGTGGGATTCTACCTGAGCGACTCGAATAAACAATAAAACAATGGAAAAGCTCGTGAAGGGCTCCTCACTCGAAGAGTTGAGGAACGGTGCATCGCTCAGGGTTCAAGGTTCAAGGTTTAACTCAATTTTTCCTGCATTCCATCCAGCTATTCCTCATCATTTACAAATCTGAGTGTTACATTAAAAATTTTGAAATCGATGCAGCTCGAACACAAAATGGTGTATTAAAATGGAAGAACATTTTTGCCTATACATATGCGTATAGGGCGCGAGGCGTCCTCCCGGGGGTTGGGCCGCGTAGCGGTCAGGGGCAGGGCCCCCTAGTATTTTATAAAGATACGCAAATTGCAAATTTTATTGGGAAATATTGGATTTTCTTCCTATAAGGGGACATTAGGCCGTAGGCAAATCGACAATCTGCCGTGAGGCGAGAACGCAAATTTCCGGCGAACGCGGTTTAAGCTTTGGAACTTCCTGCCCCTCCCCAAAGGATTACCAATTTGTGTCCAAACCAATTTTGGAAGGAGGGGGTTTTAGTTTTTTGTTTTTTTTCGTTTGTGACGAAATCTTTCTGTCTGTGCGTTGTACCGTGGCTCTTATCGAAGTCGGGAAGACATGCTTATCTAAATTACTCGTGTCTCATTTCCCCATGCACCTGCTTGTACCTAATTATGTCTCTCAAGACTGTTTCCGCCCAACCTTGCCCCATATCCTGTGTGACGAACAAAATTCAGTGATTTTCGATGAGCAATTCCTAATCCGATTCTCTCAAGTCCTTTAATCAAATCATAAGTGATCTCTGCAGCGTCACAATTTAAGATGTTTTATCATGTCATCGCTTTTAAGACGAAAATACACTTTAAGTCATCCTTGCTAATGATGTTCAGATTAATGACTTCGATTGCTTTTAATCAAGTAGACATTGAAAGCCCCAAGCGAGGACTACACTAATTGATGAAGAGTGTGAGACATGGCTCTTGCACCCTTGAAAAAGGCCCAACTCCAAAACTGCCTGGAGTGCCTGAAAAAACCATAATTTTTTGGAATTTACATACACTGAAAAAAATGAGTTAGCGTCAGATGACTAAAAATGGTTTCTATACACTAACTCAAATTGTGTGATTTGGACACACATGATTTTTGGTTTCTGTACACTAACCACTATTAGTGCTGGAAACTAATTCCGCTATTCTAATTCGCATTCGGTAGGGTTGGGTCAACCTAACCTCAAAACTGAGAGAGGAGAAAACGGCTTAGCGAATGATAACTGGACAATACTTTCAGGAAAAGAAGATTTTTTTTTTTTTTTTTTGAGAGCTTGCGCACTCTAGGTATAGTTCATTGGCCTTAGTCGTGTAGACAAACAGCCACCGCTAAATGATGGGAAGATTACAACAACAGTAGAAACAGAAGTACAAAGGAAGAAACGAAGGAAGAAACGAAGAGAAACATCCATGCCACTCCACGGTGACAAGATCTGAGACCATCAAATCTTGCCACCGAGGCCGGGATCCGAACCCGGGACATCTAGGTCTGTGATCAGTTGCGCTAACCACTGGACCAACCGATGTCGGCGTTCGAACACTTGAGATATTCTTTTGAAATTACGGGAGAACACGAACTATAGAAGTAAACAGTAAGTTCACAGATTTTCGTAAAAATATAAACTGAACGCGGAACGCTTTAATCGCAATTTAATATAGAAGATTGACGACTCCAACGAATATCATGTTTACGTTTTGAATTGAACAGACGATTTCTAACCTTAACAGGTTTATTTATGTTGCTTTCGAACGTTTTCAAGAAAGAGAGGACACTATAAATCATACCGGGAGTATTTACATTGTCAAACGAGCCCGAAATTTCACATTTTAATTGATTTTCACGAGCTGACGCGATTGAGGCTGTTGTACCGACGCCACTTTTTCGAAACTAAATAAATGTAACGGACAATGTGGCAGTTAGTGTTGAGGGCGAATTAGTTTGACCCGAAGGTGAATTTGTCTTACCACAGCGCTAATTTTACAGCTAGTGCTGTTTTCCAATTCTGGTTCGCGCTCTAGTAAAGTCAAGTCAGCGTATGAAGCGAATTGATTGGTGCTTCAGTACAATAAATTAGTTCTGAAGCCTAATTTTGATTCTACTTGGCGAGAACCAACCAAATTAGTTCTCAACGCTAACTACTTTTTTTTCAGTGTAAGGTTTGTGTTTATTCAATCTTGATTTCATTCATTTTAAGAGGTATTGGATTGTGCTTGCGCCAAGCGAAGCGTAGGCCGTATCGTCTGAGGGTCGAAATCTTGAAAGAATAAAAATGAAACGAGATGTCCATTATTGACCGAGCATAGATTGCCGTCTGCAGCCTCAAAACGTTTTCTAAGTTATTTCCATCATTTATTCATGAATTTTAAACTCTTGTCAAAGAGCGATCAAGGGGCTTGGAGAACGAGGCGCATAAGTGCAGTTTTCGAAAAAATTTAAATATCAATAATTTCCATTAAAACTAGTCTTGACGCATATTTGGTTAAACATTCGCTCCCGAAATCCAATTTTTAAGCATCAAAAAGTCAGTTTGAACTTGCTTTCTTCCATAAGGATTCATGTACTTTCGAAACTTCAAACACGTATTTACACGTATTTTTGCACGTATTTACATGTATTTCTACACGTATTTACATGTATTTCTACACGTATCTCTACATGTATTTACTCGTATTTCTACACGTATTTACACGTATTTCTACACGTATTTCACGTTCGAATAGCAAAAACTGAACTTTTGTGCCTTGTCCTCGAGCCCATCAATTTTCTACTCCAACTTCTGGTTGCGCTAAAGAAAACCATCGTTGCTGCAGCTCTTACATTTTGAATGTACGAACAAATTGAGACGAACCAATCCCTCTCCACGGCGTTTTTGTGCGGTCGGAATTATGGATGAAATCAAGGGCTTGCATGTGACGTAGCCTCCAAGTAAGTCCAGAGCCATCCAAGACCATTTTATGCGCCACATCTGTAATTAGTCACGTATCACGTATCTCATGCGGAGATAAGGCCAAGAACTTACCGAGAGTTGTCATGCCGAGTGGGGAGCCTTTTTCTAAGTTGGGAAAATGACAGCACTATTAATACTCAATTTAAATCCATTGGAAATATCCATGTTAGCTGAGACAAGCTGTCTCGCCAAGAGTCGATACTTTGTTAGAGATTCATACCCATTGTTCTTAATTCTCTGAGCTTTTCGATCAGAATGCGTGGACCATGTTTCAATCTAACATGTTTTCGAGGACCCCTAAAAAGGAAGCGTCATATCTCCGCGGAGACAATTTTTCGTGAAATTTTAGCGTGCGCATCGTTCTTCTCGTACCGGAAATTGTAAAATTCGACTATATGCAGGCAAATCCCTCCCGAGCTTAACTGACTCATTGGAATTATCACGGGTAAAAATGAAAGGCGGACCTGCGAACCCGCGTGGATCATACAGCGCCTTCAACATGGCAAGGATACTTGAAACGCTACTCCCTTGTACATACACTCTGCTCCGATTTCCTATGTGCGCCAGTTGCCTACATTGCGCCTGCCTTAGTTGCCTTAGCGCCCGCGCCACGTTTCGAGGTGTGCACTATCCACCCGCGATCAACTCCTACTTCCGCACGGAGCACGGACTTTGTTCATACTGTATTTTTGCAGGGGTGCCGGGTGCAGAAACTTCCCAACCACGCGACTGGCCGTTCACGTGAAATGGGGGAACCGGACCCCATATGAGGACGAAAAAATAGGGGGAAACGTGGGAAGTTTTTTTTTTGGGTTTAGGGGCAACTTGACTGTTGAGTGCGCTGTCTTGAGGGAACCCAACTGTCGACCGCGTTACCTTTATGTGTCGGGCAAAATTCTGCGAAAACTTAAAATGGGGAACCCAAATTTATTTTGGGGGAACCCTCGGAAGTTTCTGCACCCCTGTATTTGTGCCTCGGAAAACTAGTCAACAAACTTTCTTGAAAACTGGCTTGATTTTTCTTCTCTGTCAGCAGAATATTCTATTCTTCAAGCCTTAAAGTTGGCTTATTTATCCTCGAAAACTTAAAATGGGAGAGAGCCTCTTGATACCTGGAAAGGAGATACGTTGTTTCCGACTTATAAGCTATCGATATCGTTTCTGAATTCGATACAGTCGTAAGTTTACGCACGAGTCCATCGGGGCTAAAGCCCAATTCACACTATCAAACTTTTCATCCGACATGATTGAACGGAAAGTTGGATGGAAAATTGGACGCAAAAAACTTTGATTCAATCACAGTTGCAGTGTGATATCGTCATCAGTCTGCGGTTCGCGAAGATACAGCTTCGGCTCATGTCGGTCGGAAGAATTCGTTTCAACTTACGTTCCAATTGGTGGCGCCAATTGGATGGAAAGTTGAACGAAAAGTTGAATGTGACGTCACATTCAAGTTTCCGTTCAATTTTCCATCAAATTGCCGTTTTCTCTCGTCAGTATCATCTTAAAAAATGAAAAAAAAACATTCTTAAGTTTACCAGTAAATTCAGTTTTTATCGAAGGAAACTTGGCTACGCATGGTAGTTCATACGGCGTTTTTTCTTAGCACGGCAGCACTAAGTTGCGCAGTCACTCCTCGTGTTACCGTGTAATTTTGCAATTTTCTTTCTGTCCACAGGTACAGGAAATTAGCACTGAAATGGCACCCGGATAAAAATATAGACAACCATGACGAAGCTAACAAAAAGTTCAAAGAGATCTCAGAAGCCTACGAAGTACTTTCAGACGGTGAGTCTCCCTTTTTTCGAACTCTACTCCCTCTCAGCTCTCACTTTAGACGCTGCCGCTGTAGTATCAACATTTTCATTTCAAATCCCTTTGTCTTCACTCTGATCAGAAAAATTGAGAGGAAAAATTCATTGCCACAATTTTGCCGTGGCCGGCCAGGTTACCTTAGTGTTCAGCGCTTTTAATTCCAGGTCAATAGGCCCCGGGTTCGAATCCCGGTAGTGGCGTCAAATTTTCACGGAACTGCCGAGTAGATCTGCAGGAAGAGGTTCTACTCGGCCTTAATCCCTGGAAATTTGAAAAGCCTGGAGCATGGATGTCTCTGTCGCCCTGGTGTCTAAGGACATTAAATCTCTGTCTATAGTCATAGTGTACTCTATGTCTACAGTTGGCTGTAAACGTCCCAGTCACATGCGTTTTCGACGAAATGATTGATCCCCGCATCATTGCTTCATCTTTACAAAATTAATGTGCAAATGATGGCACGCTCCGGTATCAAGTTTCTGTGACAAAATAATTTTTGTCTTAAGAGTCTCCAAAATGTTTACATCATAGTGATCAAATCTCCAAACTACTAAATAATGTCAACTGTCAAATGTCCGTCCAACTATTCAGAATGTCACTGTCAGTGACCGGGGATCCAGGGGGCGCAGCCCCTAGGCCAGCCGAGACTGGTGCGCGAAGCGCGCCCAGAACGGCTAGTACTAACAATAAACGACTGAAGATAAATATCTGCAATCTTCGACCGATGGATTTCGGCCTGTTTTATTTTCGTCCGAGTTGAGCGTTCTCTTTTCGTTAGGTGCGCCGACGTGCTAAGAAAAAACAGCGTATGTACATTCGAATGCTGCGAAATTTTCGCTCAGGCAACTCCTATTTTGAAAGAAAGCTATGAAGGTTTTCCAGTAAAATTTTCTGACACTTTAAATGGAATTACGAACAAAATTGTGTGAAAAATGGAAAGAAAAATACTGGCAAATTCTCCGGAATATCCGTGATTTGTTACAAGGAATTTGGCAACGTCTAAAGGCTCGCACGGCGTTCTTCCTTAAGACGGGAGGGACAATCCCCTTTCCCCGAGGGATTTCTTCGAGTGTCATTGTTGACCTATTTCCATCAATTTGCGGCGGGAAATTTCGAGCCAAGTGGAAAAATGTGAGACTTGCATAGGTGACCCGAGGTCGGGGCGTCGTTGCACACAGCTCATGACCGCGCAGTGCCGTGCCAAGGTAGAACGCCGTATGTACCCGCCGACGTTGTCAAATTTCCGTCGATGAAATACCAATCTACTGGAAAATTTATGAATATTTTTCTTCAAATTTTTTTACAAGATTTAGTTGGCGGTTTACTCTGTAATATGTGAAAATTTCAAGGGAAAATAAAGACAACTTCCCTGAGAATTGAATGTTATATCGGGGGAGATTTTGCAATGTCTGAAGGCGCATACGCTGTTTTTTCGTAGGTCTCCGCGTCCCCTTTCGAGTGGACGCGACGACGCGAGGGTGTGGAATTGAGCGCCAAAGCAGGCTTCTACAGGGTGTTTCAGGAAAGATGAATCGTTTCAGTGTCTTTCGAGAAGGCTTCTGAGTGTCAAGAAACGCTGAAATGTGTGTTGGCTTCTTCTCAGGGAGACGTCTTTTAGGCCTATTTTCTCTCGGGTGCCCCTCCAGAGGGCGCCAGGGGCTGCCCCCTGTAATTCGAATTTTTCAGGTGGCTCGGTCTTTTCGAAACACCCTGTACGTTTGGCGCGCGACTCGGAGTATTTGCGGCCGAACATTGGCACTTTTTCAAGTTTAACATTTTTGAATTGAAAAGCGCAAAGAAAATCGTCCCGAGCGCATTCACACCTGCCCTTTCAAAACACGACGCGTGCTTTGCGATATATCGAATGATCTGCCGTTTAAACCTATGGAAAAGGATCGGTAAACGGGGTGTTCGCCATGAACAACTTAATAATCGATTCTTTACCACAGCTTCAAATAGGGAAGTATCGATAATCGATCATTCGCGCCTCGCCACTGCAATTGAGTATTTGGAGACGGGATTATTGTGATAGATGTTTGATTCCTTTGAGTACAAAATGGCAAATAAAAGTGAAATTGTTGGGAATTTTCTCATTTTCATCTTTTCCAACTTTGATCTTAAGAGTTTTGTTTGAGTTTATGTTCTATTGGTATGACCCAAACGATACATCGAACCACTATCGAATCTCGGAGTTGCACGCATAACACAGGGGCCTCGTTCGATGAACCCATCGAATCGAGTTTCAAGTCCGGAAAGGAAATTGACAGGGGGGGCAATGCGGGCATAACCCATGATCGGTTGTCATTTTAAATTGTTCTCCTACAGCTGCACAATAAAATATCGACGCATGTTCCTACAGGGCCGGATTAAGGGGGTGGCCACATGGGCCGCGGCCCATGGCGGCAAAATTTAGGGGGCGGCAAATTATGCAATCTTTTTGAATGTAGGTATCAAAAAATGAGAGAAAACAATCGGATTCAGAAAATAAATTACAAACGAGAAAAGGCGACAAAATCTCTAATTTCCTGAGAGAAATAATACAGTAATTTCTAATTTTGTCGTCTCTCGGTGATACAAGAGACAACACCTTTAATTATAATTGAGTTAAGAGAGAAACCAAATACGCAATTTAACCTGGAACGGAGCGGCGCGCCCGTCGGCATGAAACACATAGCGTCTACAAGACTGTATGAGTACTTCACGCATTGCGCCAAACAGTGTGGTCACTTGGTCAGCAGCGGTCGGCATGAAACGCATGGCGCCTACAAGACTGCATGAATACCTCACGCATTGCGCCAACACGGTGCAGTCGGCGCGGCGCGGCGGTGCGGTGGAAGTTAAAATTTTTAACCACATTTATGTAAATTTTTTCGTTCTTTTTTATAAATGGAAGGCCTTGTCCAAACAGGGATGGGTTTACGGAACTGAACTTTTGTTAGTGTTGACAGAGCTTTTACAAAAAATGTACCCAACACGAGTAAACGCGTCCTATACACCCCTCCCCCACCGTCACGATCACTTGATGGTTTTTATAGATCGTATTCGACAGATCACCCAGGTGAGATTATATTGATATCGATTGGTTCAATATGTAACCAAAGCCTCAAAAGTCCATTCTGAAATCTGAGGTAACGGGTCTTATGTGATCGAATTTTTATTCTGAGTACCAAATGGCAATGAAAAGTGAAATTGTTAAGGAATTTTCTCATTTTCAGCTTCTCCAAATAAAATCCCAAAATTTTTGTTTGAGGTTATGTTTGTTTTGAACCCAACGATACATCGAACCACTGTCGAATACGATCTAATGATGTTTCAAAACAAATGAGAAGGGGGCGCGGAAAGATACACGCGGCCCATGGGCGGCATGTAGGTAAATCCGGCCCTTTGTGCAAAAAAGTAGTTTGGGTTATCCCTCATTGGGGGGGGGGGGGTTTATTTAGTGGCTGCATAGGATCACAACTTACCTGGGGGGAAGGGGGCTGTGGGTGTGGGAGCCCTCCAGCTACGGTCATTCATTCTGCCCGTAAAGGGTTGTTTCACGATAACTGGAGTAGTTTTGTCGCCGTAACAGACAACACATTTCTCGGTCATATTTTTAGTAGAAATGATAATCACTCGAATTTTTTTGCATTAATCTTCAAAGGATTACGTATTATAAAAGTCAGCGTAACAGATATCACATTTTCAGCCATGTATGTATTAAAATTGAAAAGTAGAGGGATAAATCTTTGAAAAGCGGCATTACACGTAACCCTGCGTAGATTAATGCAAAAAAATTCGAGTGATTATCATTACTACTAAAAATACGACCGAAAAATGTGTTGTCTGTTACGGCGACAAAACTATTCAAGCTATCGTGAAACCACCCTTATGAACAGGAAGAAAGGGATGAGATTTGCACTCAATGTGCGCGTCCTCCCTACAAATTTCAGAAAATTGTCCAATTTCTTTCCCTCGCTCTACATGATTGTGTATAATTTAAAAAAAAATCGCGCATTGTTATATCATTGGCAGAAAAAAGCTTTGTTTACAACTTGTTTTTTGACAGCGCCTTTATTAAGCGCAATTATTTCTGATGCGGTGGAAATTTGAAATTGTGCCTACAGAAAGTAAGAGGAGGATATACGATCAAAAATCGACTGCGAAACCGCCCACCGGTCGACCGAGAGCCACCCCCGAGTATAAGCGATCCTCTTTCAGAACGTTCTTCGAGATGCCTTTCCAGCGATTCTTCGGTAGTTTTGCATGGACGCTCTTCGCCTCAAAGTTTGCTTCTTGGAGTTTGCCTAACAGTGTTCTCTTGCGTCTGCCTTTTTGCAATTCACATTTTTCATTAACGTATCATTAACAACGATATAGAAACTGTAGATTGGCGGGGGCCTACGAAAAAACGTGACACACGTGGAGCGGTCGTTCCATAGGCGGGCGGGGAGTGGAAATGGCCAATTGCCATCTTCGTTTTAACCTAATTGTTGCTCCTGGTGTGTCACGAATTTCATTGTTGGCGTAGCATAGGATCCCCCTATCTATACTTTTTAGATCGTTGATTATTAATGACGCATTTCGGCCACTAAGGCGAGGCCGCGGTGTCTAGAATTTGAAGAAAAAAGAAAAGGAAAAAGAAGGGGGGAAAAACAGAAGAAAAAAACAGAAACTCCCTGTATTAATTCGGAAATGAAGAGCTTTTTTAAAATCTATTGTTAAGATAGAGACACGATTCGTTTTCCGTCTCTGGCACCATTGTATTAATCACTAAGCAGATTGTTGATTTATTTTTTATTTTTTTTTTTAAAAAAATAAATCTAATTTGTTTTTTGTAGGTGTTTTAAAGAAAATTCATCTCGCTTCAAAGAACCTAAACCTAAAGAATAGTAAATTTGTTGTTGAGAGTCTATGCATGTATTACGTAACGCTGAAATTCAGATTTTTCGATTTCTCCGAGTTTTCATCTTAAATTTGCCTTCAAAAAATAAAAAATGATGAATCTCATTGCTTTATTCTGATAAATTAATTGAATGAATTAAGTAATTATCGAATCTTACAAAATAAATGATAACTTTTTGGTCTCTTTCCATTCCCTTGCAATCAAATAGGAGCATCAAAAATTATTTTATAATTAATTCAAATAGAAATTTAAGGGGAAAAAATTAAATTTTTAATAAAAAAAATAGAAACTCTGCAAGATTAAACGCGTTTTTTTTTTCTTTTTTTTCTGTTGTTAATGGCTTTTAAACGCGTTTGTGGAATTTAGCCAACCTTTTCTAAAGAGCAGGCCCCCTTTCTCCCCCTCCTCTTTTTACTTTTTTTAGTAAATAAGGGAAACGAACTTTGTGAGGCACTACCACTCTCATAAAACAATAAATTCTCGGCTTCGCCTCGAGGTTGTGACGTGGACCGTCTTCATTTTCGAGCACCTAATCATCGATAAAACGACTGTAGTATCCGAGAAGTAGGTCATGAGGAACAACACTTAGGCATCTTGATGTTGGTAATAACGAGCCGAAGAAAAGCACTGGTAACCAGAAAGTCGTAGAAAAGACGCCTCCCGTGCTCTGCCATCCTAAGAAAAATCCCCGTATGAGCCTTCAGGCCTTGCCATTTCCCCTGGCAAATCACTAATGCTCAGGAAAATTTTCAAATGTTTGTCTACAACGTCATTTCTCAGATAATTTTGTTTGTGATTTCATCTAAAACGTCTGAAAACTTCAATGAAAAATATTCACGATTTCCTTCAAAAATAAACATTTTATCGAAGGAAATTTGGCAACTCTCGAATGTTCGTACGGCGTTCTTCCTTGGCACGGCAGTGCTGTGGCGAAGCGTGAATGATCGATTATCGATATTTCCCGTTTTGAAACTATGCTAAAGAATCGATTTTTAAGGTGTTGGTCGCGAAGAGCCAGTCTATCGATCCTTTTCCATAGGTTTAAAGGGCAGACCAATCGATATATCGCACAGCACGCCACGCCACCAGCAAACAAAGGCGCGGAGGAACCCACGCGAGCAGTGACGTGGCGTGCTTTGCGATACATCGATTGGTCTGCTATTCGAACCTATGGAAAATGATCTTTAAACAGAGTATTCGCAACCAACACCTTGAAAATCGATTCTTTAGCATGCTTTCAAAATGGGAAGTATCGAGAATCGATCATTCACGCCTCACCACTGTTATTTGCCGCAACCGATAAGTCTACGTGAATACACTTTTATATAGGATCAAGTACGTAGGTCGCGAATCCCATTGACATTCAAAAGCTCCCAAATCCTCGGAGTAGTAATCCCTTAAAAATAGAGGATGTTTTCTGGCCTACCTGATAAATTGAAGGCGGAATAGAAACGTGCCAAACTGCCACATCTCTCTCATCTCGCTTATGCTTCCTCTAACTTTTCTGTCAAGAAAAGCCATCTTCAGAAAGGATTAAAGGAATCATCCTCTGTTGATGCTTGAAGATGCGTGCTTTCATAAATGTGTAGGCGCGGTTAGCTCTTTTTTTTCCTCCTACGTTCCTTTAATCTGCGTGTATTCAATTAGACAAAACGGCGACATAAGTTTTCAATTCCTTCGAAAATTGGTTTTCGCGGCAGGGTTTGACTACATTTTGCAATTGGGAACTACGGTTTCTGACTCATTCGTGAAAACGCTCTTGTGCATAGGGAAACTTATGATGCATACGTTCCCCATAAACTAAGGCAGAGATTGTAGTTCCTAATCGCATAATGTAGTTGAGATTTTAGTGGTGTATCTAGAATTATTTAAACTTCGCGCAGTCTTTGACCTCAATCTAATGACGCGACTGTCCGTCAGTTCCTTAGGGATTCGTCCAGGAAAAAAAAACTCCCGTTGATTTTCTGGGCCAATTCATGCCCGCCTCCATAATTGGACGTATTTCTGCCAAACGGATTATGTGCATTATGACGTGAGCCTTGTTATGCATGCATTCTTATGAGTCTCAGGGCTCATTTCTTTATGCACATAGTTCCGTTTGACAGAAATAGTCCAATTCGTCGTTTCCCGCCATTCCAAGGTTGCTAAATTGACTAAAAGAATTCGAATTTAGCCGAAGTATCTATCGTTTGCCATCGAGTAACAATGGTTTTGCATGCCTCTCTCCTCTTAACTTTTTAGCAGACTAACTCCAGTTTAAAGTTTGATTTTTTCGTGTGTTTAACTTGAATTCATTTGCGAGTGACTATAATTTTCCTCTGAGAAATTTCTGACAATAAATCTTTTTTTTTTTTGCACCCTCCTGTTGTGAGTTTTTACCCGGTGTTGATGATTGGCCGTTTAATTGTCTCCTTTGAAAATTGCTGTGAAATTTGTAAAATTGTAATCATCCACTCACAATATCAGGCGAAAACAAGTCATGAGACGGAGATTAAATCTCGGAAAATCGGGAGTGTAAATCATTGAGCAAAGAAAAAAATTTACCATTGAGAAGCCTTTTTCCAGTTTGACTAGTACATTCGCCGATTTAAAGAACCCTTTTCTGTAAATAATTTTTCTCCTATAGAAAGAGAAATAATTGTAATAAAAAATGAAATATAAGAAGATCTGTACATAATTTTTAAAATTTCTGGGCTTTGCATTGTTGCCAATGTTGGGGAAAAAGCAGCTTTTCCCCCTTATTAGCACATGTAAAATATCTGCGTTTTATCTGACAACCTTACTGCCCTGCTAAGGAAAAACCCCTGCTTGAAAATTCAGACGTTGCCGAATTTCCCTCAATAAGTTATTGATTTTCGAGGAAAGTGGCTTACGGATATTTTTCCGTGAAGTTTGCGGATACTTTGGATTGAGTCCCGAAGAATATTCTTTGAAAAGTTTGAAGTAAAGTATTCGCAAGTTTCCCCCAAGAATTGTATTTTATCGGAGGAAATTTAGCGACGTTTAGAGGCTGTACGGCGTTCTTTCCTAGCACGATAGAAAGAGTGTTGACTTTTTACATGGGGTTAAATGGGGAAGAAAAGTGATGTTTCTTCCCTCTAGCAGACAACAATGAAATGCTCAAAAGAACACCAAAAAGAGTTTTTCGGTGATAAAAGACTAACTGTTTTAGGTACCCTTCCTCGTTTTCCCCCTATTTTCCTGTATATTTATTTCTTCTCCAAAAAATTAATACTGAACGAGTGTATTTATTGCAGTGAGAAGAAAAATAAATTTTAAAAAAAGGAGAAAATGCAAAATATAGAATGAAGGTGGAAAGAAATTCTCGCCGAAGGAAGAATGCTTCTTTTGGACGAACAACAAAAGTCCCCTTCTCTCTCGTCCTCATCCTCCTGTATCTTTATCTACAGGGTGAGCCAAAAGTCCCACACCACCCTCATCAGTGGAGTGGCGTGCTTTGCGATATCGATTGATCTACCATTTAAATCTATGGACACTGATCGATTATTAGGGTACTCACAGCGAACAGCCTTATAATCGATTCTTTACCATAGCTCAAATGCGGAAATATCGATAATCGATCATTCACGCCTCGCCTTTGACCCTCATAACCTCTAGGAGGGCCCTTGCCCCTCTTCAGGGTGGTTTCTTCAAAATTTTGAGTGTTCCCAAAAGTAATTATTCTGATCTAGGAGCTTTTAAGAAGTATCAAGTCTCCATCTCGATTTGTTCAACAATTACAAGGGTTCTTGCCCCTCTTTAGGGTGGTCTCTTTAAATTTTGAGTGCTCCCAAAAGTAATTCTTATGACCTAGGAGCTTTTAAAAAATATCAAGTCTCCATCTCGATTTGTTCAACAATTACAAGGGCGATACCTTGTGCTAGTGGCTGAGCAGGAATTTCGGATGACCCTGTAGAAAAGCGACGAAAACGTGAGGAAATCCGAATGAGAATCGAGTCTTGAACTAAACTTGAGAATTTGTGATTTTCAGAGAAAAAGAGGCGAGTCTATGATCAGTACGGAAAAGATGGTCTCATCAATGGCGGTGTGAATGCTAGGAGCAGAAGCAGGCACCACACCCATCACACTGATTCCGATTTTGATCTTGGATTCGGAGGTTATGGATTTGAATTCCGCGACCCTCAGGATGTCTTCAGAGAGTTCTTCGCTAGCAACTTCCCGTTCATGGATATCTTTGGAAGTAAGTATTTTCTCCGTTTTACGTCAAGTTTTTTTTTTTTTTTTTTTTCTAATGCAGTGAGCCAGTAGACCAATAGGAAATTCAAACTATCCCGCTCATGGAAAAAATAAAAACCTACTTGAGTTAAATCGCACACTAACAATCAACCTCACCACGGCAATCTCTGTGATATGAAAATACCACAGATTAGTCCAGATCGCTAACATCGGCGGAAGAGCGTGAGTAGCTTTGTGAGCGCCATTGGCGAGAAAATCCATGGGCATTTAAAACTAGGAACCAAAACTGAAATTTTGGCTATTTTCAGCAGATTTTCGGCGGGAGAATACTTCTTTTTCAGATTTTTGTGGGATGAAACGTTCCGAAGAATTCAAGAATTAGTTTCTCAGTAGAATTTATGTGGTTCAATATTTCCAGATTAAATAATTAAGGTGGAAATAAATAAAGAAGGAGAATTAATTAAAATACGAGTAAACAAGGCTAAAAATTATTGAAACACTAAAAGGTAAGACGTTTCGAGCTGCTTCCAGCTCATTTTCAGCTGCAAAAACACATAAAAACAAGTAAAAAATTGAGTGGCGACCTGACCTCAGCCGTTATCACGTAACCACTCATAATAACGGCTGGGGTCAGGTCGCCACTCAATTTTTTGTTAAGGTATTATGGATTATTAAAAAAATAACACCTCGTTAGATAGTACAGAGTATATATCGATGATAATAAGGCTTAGTTTATGACATCGTGCGTACAAGTGCTGAAGAGGACTGAGTACAGGAGAAATTTTGAACTAGACAGGGAGCTTCATCTTATCGCTGAGTCTCAGGCTCAGTTGACCATACGTCATCTATACTATAAGCTCCAAGACCTCCTAATTTTGCGAAACTGGTGACGCTTAGTTCCAGCGTTCTACCGGGCCGATTTTCATGATTTTTGCGGCTATTGACGGGCAATTGTCTCTAGATAAGCCAACTCTTTTCAGATTTT